TTTCTAGAGACTACTAGACTTGGGAGGGACCTTATAGACATCTGCTCAAGCTTCCTGATTTTACAGATGAGGGGACCAAAGGTTCAGAACTGATAGTAAACTCGGGTCTCTTAATCCCCAGTCTGAGGCTATTTTCACTTCATCCTCAACTCTTTTCATTTATGCATGTCTCATGTCCCCTCCCAGATAGCTTTTTTTTAGCTTTTTGTTTTAGATTTAATTAAAGATTCTTAAGGGCAGAGATCATGTCTTACTCTCTCTCTTATCTCCTTAGCATCTAGCATAATGCTTGACCCAAACATAGAAGTTCAACAAATATTTGCTGACTAGCTGTTCTACCTGCCAGGGTGCCCACTGGCACAGGAATTCCACTCCCCCACTTGCACCCCATCAAGGTTAGCCTACCCCCCAGACCTGACATTGCTTACCACCAGTCACCAGTGCTCTGGCCAGCTTATACCTGGCACTGCTTACAGCCAGCGTGTGGACTGCGTAGCAGAGCCTGGCTCCAAAGGGAAGGGCTTGGGGGCAGAGTTCTTCTCATTTCCTTGCTTCGCTGTGACTACAATGAGTTTTGGAGTCTGATTGGAATCAGGCCCAAACCCCGCTCGATGGACGGTATTGCTAGAAGATATGACTATGCATTACTATTTATTGTCTTTCTTGGATTCTCACTTATCTATTCATAAGTGTTCGTGAGAAATAACATGACAGATCCTAAAGACCTAGCCCCAGAGGCTGTGGTCTGCTACTGCAGGGGGTGGTGGGGGCTGGGAGAATAGGACTTCATCTTTCCCACAGAGTGGACTCTTTTCTGAGCAGAAACCCCTTTGTCTGTCTCGGTAGCTCTCCCCAGCCCTGTGCCACTTGCCTAAGGGACTGGTGAACTTTGGGTAAATGGAAGAGGCTGCAATTCCTTGTGCTGTCGTTCCTATTGCTGTCCTTTAATTGAGACATCTTTTGCAGCAGAGCCATTTAAAATCTGTATTAGTTTCCCGGGGGCGCCTTCCCCAGCCTTAGTGCATCAGTGGGTGGGGAGGGTGTTCTGCACCCCACACTCCCCAGTTAGCCACCAAACCATAGGCAGAGCTGTGTTCATCACCCGAGACAGGAAGCCACGTCAGGCAGGGTCCCTGCCCGGCTGCATCCCCTTCGTCTTCCACTCCCCAGGACTCAACTGATGTTTGTCAAAGCTCTCAGTTATTTGAACTGTCAGAATATGGTGCTAACAATGGCAACACATTATTCCTTCCATCCATTTATGGAATCTACTATGCGCCTCCATCTATTTCTAATTATTAATACATATTTTCAAATTTAGATTTATAAGAGAGGTACATAAAATATAAATCCTTACTCACAACAGAAAACAGTTTATATGGAAACTAATAAAACCTCTTCTAACTCCTCCCTCTTTGTCACGTGGAATTTCCCAGCAAATTGCACAGTGGGAGCCAGGCAAGTGTTTTCCCATCGGTGGGAATATTGATCAGCACTAACAGAAGGAATTGTAGAAGGTGCCAAAGTCACAGAACAGCTGACAGGAGTTGCAGGCAGGAAGATCCCCTTGTTAATTCATTAACATAACAACAAGATGTCTGTTAGGAAGAAGCTGGGTCATTTTCAACTGGTAATTAGGTCCACATGGTCCTTCTCTCATCACTCTCCATTTATCAACCACATCCTTTGTGTTGGCCCACCGTGCTTGCAGAAGACGCTGTGAGAATCCTGCAGCTACTGGCAGCTTGGGAAGGCCACGACCTCCTTGAGGTTGACTTTCTCTCCCAGAACAAATCACTGGATTTAACCAAGGGATACTGCAGCGTTGGACGAGAAGAAATGTCTCCATTTTGTAAAGTATCCTATGTAGAAACAGTTTGTATGAGGTCCTTGGGTGACCGCAGTCACATCCAAGGCTTCAGTTTATGAGGTGATGACTCAGGCCACATCTCTGGCTCAGAACTTTCCATCAGGCTCCAGATCCGTGTTTCCAAGAGCCTTGAACAGCCCAAGGGCAGCACGAACTTGAACTTCCCCCACTTTCCCTCCACTTCCTGTCCGAAATCTCACTTTTAGTAAATTACAGCATTGCACATCCAATGATAGGTTCCCGAACCAGCAATTGGAAGCACATCCACAGTAGCTGGGGCATGAGTAGGCCAGCTTTGGTGTGTTGGAATCTGGATTATTTAAAACCAATGTCAAGACACAGCTTTCTTTTGCATCCCCACCCCAGGCAATTGCTCTCTCCTTGGCTGTGCCCTGAAGGCTGGCTCCTTCCCATGTCCTGCCCAGGTGATGCAAGCACCTCTGCCCCACACAAGGGTTCAAACAGGAGAATCAACAGAAGTCATCCAAGGAACTTCCAAAAAGTAAAGATTTCTTCGCTCTCCCCAAGAGGTTCTGACTCAGGAAGTCTAGACTGAGACCTGGTCCACTCTGGGTACCATCAGAGAATTCAGTCCGAGCCCTAGTGCAAACACAGGGAACTTTGATGCTTTGTGACTCCCACAAGTTTAGGACCAGTGCTCTCACAAGCAATGATGATGCCGTATGTGTCTGTCCATACACACATACGCATGCATGCACAAATACGCCTGTATACATACAAACACACATAAACACAAATACATACACATTTTGGTGCTTGGGTCCCCCCGGCAAATCACTTTCAGTTGTCCCTACAAACAAACATTGACTAAACAATCATGCACTAAGCCATTAGGAGCTCCTGGCTCTGCTCCCACCGTGTCAGACCCTCCTTCCTTCTCCCGATTGACCCCAGCAGCCTCCTAACTGGTCTCCCTACCTCTGGACTGTCAGCCACACTTCTGACTTAGCAAATGCATATTAGTCACCAAAGTGTCTTGACCCCACGTGAAACTCAAACTTCCCAGCTCTGAGAACAGTGCTCACCACAATCTCTGGGGCTTACCTTGGCCCCTCCTCAATGCCCCCTTCACTGTAGGAACATCTTAAGATCTAAATCTTGGTCCCCAGGTGAAATTAGTTTCTTAACCTCAAATGAAATCACTGGATCAAAGCAATGAATATTTTAACCATCACTTTTCTGTAAGGAGCACCAGCTTACACTTTCCCTAAAGTCTATGGGGTGATCCATCTGACTGCTCCCTTACTACTTTTGGAGATGATCGTTAAAAAAACAAATCAAAAGAAAACAAAATAAAAAGCAAAATAAAACTTTGCTAATTTGATTATACTCTATCACTCTGTTTTTAATTTTTAATTCTTTGATTATTGGTAAAATTCAGCATTCTTCACATGTATTACCCATTTGTATTTCTTCCTCTGTCATCTAAACTTTGGCCTATTAAGTTTCATCTTTCTCCAATAAAAACTTTTCTCTAACCTAGCAGTTCCAAAGTGTGGTCACCCGGCTAGCAGCATCAGTGTCATCCAAGAACTTGTTAAGAATGCAAATTCTCAGGCCCCACCCCAGACCTCCTGAACCAGGAATTGTGGATGTGGGGCCCGGCAATTGGCTTTAACGAGTCCTCCAAGACTACAAACTGTTCTGACCATACTGAGTGGTGATAGAATTCATCCGGAACCTAGGTATACAACAGGGGAAGTCCACAAAGGGACCCACCTTGCCTGACATGAGTCACAAATAGCATGGTGGATAAGTCTGCAAGCTCTAGATCTAGCCTGCCTGAGTTGTTAGCCTCGCTCTACTGGTTACTAGCTGTGTGAGCTTAGGCAAATGACTTAACCTCTCTGGGCTTCAATGTCCTCATTAATAAAACGGGGATAATAATCTAACCTACCTCATAGAGTTATTTTAAGAATTAAAGGTTCAGTACACTTAGACGTATGAGGTCTGACTGCTGCCATTATGGCCATTTCAATTATCACTTTACTCCACTCCATATTTTTTCCCTTGTCCTCCAGAAACCTGTTGGAAGAAATAAACGATCTTAAAGAAACAAGGCTGGATCTTAAAGAAAGTTGGTGATTAGAAGGCAAGAGTTTTTATCATAAACATAACACATAATGCACCTCCCCTTAAAAATAAGCTTCTCCTTCTGCCTTCTGTTGTCCCAGGTCAGCCTTGCCAAGCCACACATGATTCTGCGGTTATTGTTCTCATATCAGCGGTTACATAAGGAATATAAGACATAGTAAATATGGAGAAATGCTCTTGAATTCATTCTAGGTACACCACATATTTGTTGTATTGATTAAAAGCAGGTATATAATTCTAAACCATTTTTGTCATTCTGGCTCTTACAGCAGTCTTATTGGAGGTTAATATGAGTAATATTTTTAAGAGAAGGTCCCATCATCAAATAAGTTTGTTTAATATAACACTAGGTCAGAGAAGTTATATTAACGTGGATTGTGAGTCTTTGTGGGTGAGGAGTCAGGTGAGGGTTCCCAGTCTTTTGACTCTGCCTCCCACGTTGTAAAGGAATATCTCATCAGGTTAGTGTCCCATGGAGAACACTTTGGGAGATGTGTTTTATAGGAAAAAGGAAAAGATTTCCAGGATTTGGAAAAGTTGTTGGTGAACAGTGTACAGGAAAACCAAATATTGTATAAGATGTTACGCATAGGAAAGAAAAAAGATATTTTTTCTCTTTAAAGCAGTAGTAAACAGGAGGTGTGCTTTGTGTCTCCAAAGAACGAAAATGAATTTAAAACACTTTAGGAAAAAGAACTGAATGCTTTTCTGCCTCCCACCATTATATGCAAAACTCTAATGAGATATCTATTTAGTATTTTCCCAGAGAGGAGACTTTCCTGGTTTGTCCAAGACTGGAGAGTAAGGAAGTGATATCCCTCCATACTACTCTCCTCCCTGTAAATATTTCCAGCTACTGACCTTGCTAATGACTTGCTCTTACCTGGATCTTCTCATTTTTCCTACTCAAGAAAATTGAAACCGTAATCATCCTAACTTTTCTCTTTCTCTCTTCCTCTCCTCTTCCCTTTCCTTCTCCATCACCCCACCCCATATTTTTTCCCTTGTCCTCCAGGAACCTTCTGCATCATTTCACTGTGCACCTGTGTGGCTGGGATCAACTTCGAGCTGTCACGTTACCCACGCTACCTGTATGGACTCCCCGATGACATCAGCCATGGCTATGGATGGTCCATGTTCTGTGCATGGGGGGGCCTGGGCCTCACACTAATCTCGGGATTCTTCTGTACCTTGGCCCCCTCTGTTCAGCCTGTCCCGAGGACCAACTGCCCTAAATCCAGACCCGAGAATGGGACAGTGTGCTAAAAAACAAACCCTTACATATATATATATATATATAAATATATATATAATATACATATATAAAACAAAACTAAATCAAGATGATGCCAGTGCCAAGAAAGAGTTGAGTTGGCTCAGGCACCTGCATCTCACCAGACTTTGTGTTGCCTCATCACTGAGATGGGGAAAGTGTCCCCATCCTGTGGCTCTTCCATCAATTCTTGACTTTTGGCTTCATGATTTCCTGACGACGGAGCGAACAGCGCCACTTGCAAGAGCGTCTTGACCCCCATCACTCACGAAGACCAGTGGTGAAGGGATGGTGGCCGTGGTCTGAGGCAGCACAGAGGTAGAGGAGGAAGTGCCACCCACTGGGCCAGCAGGAGAGGATGCCGCCGGCCACCAGTCGTATCAAAGGCCAACAGAGCCCTTAGTTCATAGAATGTTATCACATAGTTGAGGCCATTTTCAGAATCACTTCTTCTCCTGCTCTTCCTGTTTGGTTTCCTTCCTGGCCCACCAGCAACACACAAGGAGTAACAAACTGAGAAGGACGTTTTCTCTTTGCTGCCAGACTTTTGGACAAAGTTTCGGAGGCGGGAAGGGGAGAGAACGTGCTGAGAGGCAAGATCCGCGTGGATGCAAGGACACGTCAGTGGATGCTCAGAAACCCAGTCTTACCTTCCAGCTGCCTTACACCAGTGAAGAGGAGGCCGTCCTGGCCCTGCCCCTGCACTCCCCGGGCAGACCGGAGCCTTGGAGCAATGCTGTGATGTGTGTGTGTGTGTGTGTGTGTGTGTGTGTGTGTGTGTACTTTGGGTGGTTTCCTTTTTTCTTTTCCACCTTTTAAATGGAAATAATTGCATTACGACTGTTGTCTCTCTATTGCTGTAGAGGTGTCATGGCCCCAGATGGAGGCCCAGAGACCTGAGAAATGTCACGAGGGGCAGGCCTCCATGGGTGCCAGTTCTGCAGCCACCGATCCCTGGAGAGTGTGTGTATGTGCACGCGTGCGCATGGGGTGGATGTTTCCTGAGTGTAGGGTTTTATCATTTGTGTTGTATTTTTTTGTTGTTATTATTTTTGGTACAGCTGAAATTCCCAGGGGGCAGAACCAAGAACCAAACCACCGGGCCAAAGGACCCCGTGGTTCTTCACATTTGAGACTCAGCAGAATTTAGTCCTCTAATTTTGGAAGTTCAAGACACAGCTGGGCACAAAAACTGTGAGAGAAGAGGGGGAACACACGGTTCAGGAGGGAGAAGGAGTGTTGCCTCTGGTTGCTGTTGGACAAGTATGTATACCAAACAGGACTGTCACTCCCCATCATGGAAGCTGTCCTTTGTCACTGGACATCTGCCCTTTTCCTAGGGGTGATCTCTGTGCAAATGAAAGGAAATGGGTCACATGCAGAGAGAGCACCTTCGTTCCTGTGGGCTCAAGTTTGTATGATATTGTGTAAATTAATGGAAAACTCTCGACTCTTTCCATCCTCTTCCTTTTCCTCTTGATATTCAAGGCCATGAATCCCAACACAGCCGTCTTAGTGGCTAGCACCCACGCACAGGTGGACTACACCCACCCAGTGTCTCAGGCTCGCTGGCCCTGCAGGTGTCAGCGAGCCAAGGAGTCAGCCAGAGCGTCGTGCACGCTGTGGGGGTGGGAGCCCACTGGAGTGGGCGGAAGCAGCTCACAGTGACCCCAGTGACCCTGCTGGTGCTGAGCAGCTCCGGGGAGGCAAGGAGAGAATCCCTGAGCTGGTGTAGCCATGGTCAACCATGTAGCAGAGAAGTCAATTGTTTCATAAACAAACACGCTTTGGGAACTTTGTCAACCACTCAGCAGCCATGTACTTGGTTTCATCTGCCTGTCTTGCAACCTATCTTCCTACCAGCCTCCAGCTTTTCCCACCTGTTGTCCACTTACCTTCTCTCTCCTCTGTCCACCACCCGCATCTGCTCTTTTTTACTGCGTGGATGTGCTTCATATCTGGATGAGACAGGACACCTGATGTGCATGAGTGGGCTTGAATGTGGGTCTCTGTGTGCGTGTATCTCTCTGGCGCATTCCGTGTATGTCTGCGTCGGTGTGCACCTGCACGCAGGTGTGGGTGCCCTACTCAAGACTTCCTTGCCGGGACACTGGTCAGCTCTGCGAAAGGTCTGGTGTGGGGAGTGCCCTGTGTGTGGGTGTGCTGGGAGACGGGGTGAGCTAACAGGAAATGCTGTTAGCTTCCAACTGAGGTGCTAAGGATTATTTTTAGAGCAAAGGATTTATTCTATGGGAAGGGAAATAATTTTCAGGAAAACCCAGTTTTTCAATTGGGAATTTTATTTTTAATTTTCTTTGAAAAGTTAGATTTCTCCCTTAATGGGAAGGGCATACTTGGGCTTAAGGAAAAGTGAAGAAAAGTATCTCAGATTGAGAGGCCTTGTGTCTTCCTTCCAAGCCTCTTGAGTGGGCTCTGCCGAAGCGGGGACAGGTGGGTGTCCACACGCATGTTTGAGGCAGAGGGCTTGTCTGTAGAGAGCAGACCCGAATTCCAACTGTTTTCCAGTTACAGGAAAGTGGGGGGGGGAAATTCTGTATGGGACAATTTGCTATGGACCATTTAAATTTTTCATAAATAACAATGTTTGAGGATACTGGCTCCCAGACCTATTTAATTATACCCCTTTTTAAAAAATTCCATATTTTCCATAAATAGATCATCTGCTCTATCCAATGACTTATCTTTGTGACAGATCTTTAACAAAGCTTACTGCATCTTTTTGAAAACTTGAGCATCCCTGGAATGTTAGCAAGACTCCCAGGACAGATGTAAACCACCTGTGCTCGACTCACCATCAGCAGAGCAGGGCTCTAGTGACTTTTTTCAGAGTGGAGCCTGCTAGGTACAGACAGTCACACTCCAGGGTCTGGGCCTGCTGGGGGGCAAAACCACGCCCATCACATGGCAGGATGGAGGCCCCGTACAGATGACAAGTCCTGGCCAGTGGGGGAACTGCCCAGATGACCTTGATCCCTTCAGCATCAGGGCTTGGCCACGGATTGAAACGTGCAACTCCAAGCACTTACTGACACTCTCTGGCTGTGAGGTGGCCGAGGAAGATGAGAAGGAGAAGGAAGAGAGGAGCCTCAACTTGAGAGACTCTGGAGGTCAGATTCTGCTAACTCCAAGTCGAAGCAGTCAGTAGCCCCCCTAGAACTCCCAGCCCCCCCAGGTCAAGTTCAAATCCCTTACAGATGTGTGGGTGCAAAGTGTAGGACCATGTATGAGCTTTGAGCTCCATGCGTGCCAACCTTGAGCAAGGGGCCCATTTCAACTTGTATTTCCTTTTCTACCTTACTAGAATGGGGAGTCAGGAAAGTGGGGTGTCTGCCTGGAGAGGGGTCCCATTTCTTTCTTTCCTCATTTTTGGAGTCATTGTTTCTACTTCTGTTTCCTTTTCCTCTCTCTCCACTCACTTCTATTTTCCTTCTGCATCAACTTTGGTCAATTAAAATAATTAAGTAATTTGTCTCGAGAGAGGATCGTGGGCTCCAGGCAGCCCCCTTCCCTGTTTGTTGCAGTGGTAGGATTCATAAGGAGGTCTGTGGCTCTCTGGCGTTCAAGTATAAAAAATCAAATCTGTGCCTGTTCCAGCTTCAACCCTGCTACAAGCCTTAGCCTTTCAGCAATGCTACCCTTTCAGCTTCAGGGATCATGGAGTCACACAGACTGGACAATTCCTCCAAGTCAAGACAGAGCCTGCCTTCATCACCCTGGGCCCAGGGGCACTTTGGTAGATTCTCCCACTGCGGGTGAGTGGTTTGCCCTAGCAATGCTTGCTGTTCCTTTGATAAGAGGAGAGGCTACCCCGACACTCTGAGATTGGGTCCTACCTCTCAATACTCATCCACATGTATGTTAGGAGGCCTAAAACGAAAGCACCACATGTAGCTGTCCTCATGTAATGGAAGGACGTGCTGCATACGTCTCCAAAGCTGCCCCCCTGAGCCAAATTCAGAACAATGAACTCAAGTACATCACCCAGAGGCATTTAGAATCGACTCTATCTTCACCTGGCTTATTTGAGCGTGTTAATTAACTGATTTTCAAGTAGCAGGTAGGAGTGGGAAGAAACATACTCTGGTCATCCTTCAGTGTGGTTTGTATGGGATACTTGGTTGATTCCCCTCTGCTCCAGGGACCAACCATCCCAGCGGATACATCCAGCCCTTTTGGGGGAAATATGATGAGTCAGAGTAAGAGGTGATTTCAGCACGAATAGAAATAATTGGTGCACACCGGCCGCATTGTCTTCTGTGCCGTCTTCCAGCTGGTACATGGTAGAGTGAGGGGACAGACTTTTAAGCAATCCCACCGGAGCTGATGTACACAAATGATCTTGGTGTCTCTCTCGAAGCACTCAGCTTCTCAGGCTGTGTTGGCTCTTTCCCCTGGTGCTGCCGTGGTGCAAAATGTTTCTTGAGTGTTATTCCCAGTTCTTAGAATATGTCGTTATTGGCTATGGGATTTTTTTTCCTGAATGATATACGCTCATTGTAGAAAATTAGAAAAAATAAAATACAAAAAAGACTAAAAGATTGTTCATAATTCCATCACTATGAAGCATCTGCAGTGTACCCAGTCATAATGGTCATAACCCCAAAGCTTCCCCGATGAATGGCAGCTGGGGCCCTATGTACAGTCCATGGCCGCAGAACCACACTGGTCTGCACCAGGTGGACCCTGTGTTCTTGGCAGCAGGAGCACAGGGCTCTGAGGTCCCAAAGATAACAGAGAGGCCTAAGCCTCTCTCAAAGCCAGAGCTTAGGGGCAGGACGGAACAGGGCTAAAAGATTCCTATTTGGGACTTCCTTTCTTTCTTCTTTCTTCTACTCATTTTGGTTCTGGTGCCATGTCCATCTAATCGTGGGTGTAAGAGCACTGAAGCCAGAGTAACTTGCTCATTAAGCTACACTTGTATAACACAGTTACTGTAAATTTCATTTCAGCTCTGCACTAAAATGATTTGTGA